CTGGTATACTCAGAGAGGTCTGCAGATGCAAACCCAGAACCTCCCCCACATGGATCAGCTTCTCAGAGTGTCGTCTTTTACCACTGTGCCACCGTATGGTCCCATGCAGAGTTTTTTAACCACAGCACTAGAGCTCTCTGAGCTGGGTAGTTCTTTTTTTTTTTAAAGAGAGATTTTTGTTATAGGGTGTGTGTGTTTGTCACAGAGACAGAGCAACAGAAAGCAAGAAATCACCCTCAAGGGAGATGGCCATGCCACAATCCCTTCTCCATTCTTCTCTTGGGGCCTTGGGCACACACACACACACACATGCCTGCTGAGTTTTGAGCTGCTGGGTCTGGGACTTGAACCGTGGTCTGTCCCGGCCCGCGGGACAATCGAACAGGCTACCTGAGTGAGAGAGTGGAGGTCTGGAACCGGCGCAGCGTCACAACACGGGAGTGACACAGTGTCACAGCTTTGAATGGTATACAGTCACTCATTTATTGAGGGCCAGAGAACATTCTTATATACACAGCAGGGTGGTAATTGGTTGCCCAATATGTAAATGAAGGATATATTTTGGGCCAGTAATTGATTGTTTTGTCAGGGGGCATTAACCAGGAGGCGGAGCTCAGGGTCGGATTGCTGTTGCAGACCTGATTGAGAAGCTGCTTGCGTATGTTAGCTAGGTTGGGGAGCCTAGGGGCGAATTGTTTACTCCTGGAACAGAGAAGTCCGGGAGGTCATCGTGTGAAAGTCATTTCAGCCATTTTGGTGCATGTGGCTCTCCACGGCGGTCAACTACTTGAGAGTCCAGTGATGTAGCCATTATGTCATCTGCGGTCCCAGTTCTTTTTTATTTTTTAGAGAGATTTTTGCTATAGGGTATGTGCACTTACCAGAAAGAGAGAGAAAGTGAGAAATCACCCCCAAGGGGGATGGCCATGCCACAATCCCTTCTCCATTCTCCTCTCAGGATTTTGGGCACGCATGGAGTGAGATTCAAGGCTTTGGGTCTAGGACCCAAACCATGGTCATCCAGGTAGGAATCCATTGTCTTAATCAGTCTGCCACCTGCTGGCTCCCGTGCTTGGTAATTCTTTGGTGGGTCTATCCTGTGCATTGCAAACTCTGTAGCATCACCCCAGCCTCTACCTACTAGATGCTAGTTGAAAACCCTCCAGTTCTGACCACCACAAATGTCTCCAGGCATTGCCAAATGTCCGAGGTGGGACCTGCTGCTTCACCCCTCAGCCAGAGGGGCTGCCCGACCTCAACCTCTGCCTCCTGGGACTGCCTGTCTCTGCCCCAGAGGCTGCAGACAGAGTGGGAGTACAGGATCAGAGGGCTTTAGCTAGCACCTACCTCTGAGTGGGTGAAATGAGTGATAAAGCATTTAGGGTGGTGCCTGACATGCAGAGAATGGTGTGGAAGTGTTTGGCAAAATTCAGACAGTCCTTCCAGGTACAAGTTACTATTCTCATCTGTAGGTAAGGAAATTGTCAATTTGAAGAAGTTAGTAAGAGGCAGAGCTGGGATTTGAACCTAGGCTTATGTGACTCTCTAGAACCAATGTTTTTCCAGCCATACCATACTGTCCCAGAAACCAGACTGTTGGGGGTGCAAGGCCGTGGTCTAAGAGGGACAGAGTCCACAGGCTTCAGGCCTCCAGACCCACAAGGGTAGCCCTGAGGATGCACTTTCTGCCCTAGCACAGAGCCTTGGGCAAAGTCCACCCTGGAGATGGGGAGTGGCCACTGAGCACTGGAACAGGAGTCAGAGACATGCAGGTCTGCCCCACACGTACTGTCTGAGCTGAGCTGCCCCAGTTCTGATGGGGCACAAGCTAGTGATGGACAGCCACTGGACCTGGGACAGGAGAAGGGGCAGGCTGCAGAAGGTTGCTGTGGCCAGAAATGTCAGGGAACAGCTCCACGGTGGATGGCTGGACAGAGCCAGGTGGCTGCAGAGTGCTGAAGGGATGGCCCCAGGTCTGCTGCCCACTGCCCATAGGGCCAGGCCTGTTCCTGGGGTCCTTCCAGGGGGGCTCCCAGGGGGGCTCCAACGCAGGCTGTCTGCAAATGGCACTTTGGAACCACTGTCTTCAACACCTCTCTTCTACTCTTGGGCCATAAAGTGGATTGCATCCACTCTCCTCCTCCTCCTGCTCACACCAACCATCAGTTGTCAAAGAGCTCTGTGGAACAGACCACTGCCTGACTGGCTGCACCCTCCCTTCTCTGTGGGAGGCAGCGAGGCCGGCAGTGTGTGGATTTTCTGTTCCACGTACCTGCTCCTGAGAGCTTTAAGTCAAAGGGTGAGTTTGTGCCTGGGTCAGACCTCAGGGCTCCTGAGTCCCCCTTGCCAGCTTGCCCAGTCCACATCGGGTGAGCCCTGACCTAGGCCGCCCCGCCTTCCCTCTCTCCACAGGCCTCAGTCCCTCCAAATCCCAGGTCTTCGAAGGAAAGAGAGGAAGCACCACCACACCCCGGGACCCACCTGCAGGCAGGGCCGCGCCAGCATAGGCACTGGGCTGTCATGGAGCCAGGAACCCTGAGCCCGGGCAGGGCCACCCCTGCTGGGCCCCTGGAGGACACTCCCTTGCTGCTGGAGCTTCAGAAGCTGCCGGGATTGGCCAACACAGACTTGAGTGCCCCGAATCCCAACATCCAGGTGAGCACATCAGAAGGGCCACCGGCCCAGTGGGCACCTGGAGGGGAAGTGACTGGATAGTGTAGGCCCCCCTTCTTGTGCTTCTTAGGGGGTGGGTGTCCTCGCTGGGATCGGAGGGCATTCTCCTGCACCTGCCCCTCCACTTTCTAGCTGTGGCCCTTGGACAATCCCATGGCCCTCTGAGCCTGTGTTCCCTAGACCTTAGCACAGGACACACAGCATGGAGCTGGCAGGGTTGTGAGGAACAGATGAGAGAGAAACATTCTAGCCTGCAGGAATTCCGGGAATATGGGAAAGAGCCGGAAAAGGCCTGAAGGTGGGTCCCCACCTAGGCCCAGTCCCTTACGGCAGGCCCCTGGGGGAGGGCTCAGTGCAGATGGGCTGGTGGCAGTGGCAATGACCACCAGGGGCTTTTTCCTCCAGGGTTTTTAGGACTTTTAAAATTTGTCCTGAAGTCATTGAAGCAAGACTCATGATAAAACATTCCGCTTTGCAGCTATCTCCTTCCCCCACACACGCACAAGTAGGGAAAATGGTCTTGTATGTGGGATAAAATAATGTCAGTTAAAACTTGCAGATAAGGGTTAACATGACCACTCAGCTCTTCAAAAAGTTTATGTGAGTTAATTCTTTCCCCCTAGAGGACATGAGAGAGAGAGAGGGAAAGTAAGAATTCACTCCCGCCCCCATGGGGAATGGTCACGCACAATCCCTTCTCCATTTCTCCCTCCTTTCACGATGTTGGGCATACATGCACACGTACCCACCATGTTTTTTTAAGCTGTCAGGTCCAGCACTCGAACTACAAGGTTAGCTCTGTGGGATCCAACACCTTCACCACCACGCCATAGGCTGCCCTAACCAGGGGCTTTACGGAGGGCGACAGGTCATGAATCTTCTGATGGTAATGTCTGCGGAGCAGTGACAGTTCAGAAAACACTTTACAGGGAACCAGCAGTTAGCGTAATGGCTATGTCGCTGGACTCCCATGTAGTCGATCGCGGTTCGCATCCTGGACCTGGTGGCTTAAAACTCACGCCGGGCGCGTGTGCGTGCGTGCCCCAGATCCCGAGAGGAGAATGGAGGAGAAGGGATTGCGGCGTGACCATCCCCCCTGGGGGGGGTGATTTCTCGCTTTCTGTCTCTATGTCTGTCTGGCGAGAGCATGCGCCCTATAGTGAAAATCTCTCCAAAAAAAAAAAAAAAAAAGAAAACACTACACAAAAGAGGAAAAGAGATCACAGAAGTGCAGAACAGAACATTCTAAAATCTTTCGAAAGCATCTCTCTCTACACATGCATGCACATGCGCACACACACAACTGGAATATAAACGGTGTTCATGTTCTTTATATTTTCCTGTTTGTTTTCTTCCCACGTCAGTGACCTCATTCTACTTTATAACAATCTCAAAAGTAATGTTTCCAAGTTCAGTTTCACATGAATGGTTCTGGTTTCCCTTCCTGAAGGCTGTCAGTGGTCCTGAGGCTGGCAGCCAGCAGCCTGCAGCCTGCAGTGCCAGCTTCTCTTAGAGTAGGGGTCTCACCTCCACGAGGTGACAATTGCCATGCCTGGCCACACCCCAGATAGTAGGTCCAATCTGGGTGTGGGAGTCAGTACTCTCCAGGATTCGAAGGCCAGCTAGGAGGAGACAGATGGCCAGGAGGGAAGACTGAGCCGCTGCCTCTGGGCTGGTCCTGTCATCTTGCCGCTGCTTGGAGCCCAGCTCTGAGCCCTACCTCACTGGCCAGCCTGGCATCTGTCTCTCTGCAGGTGACCATCGAGGTGGTGGAGGACCCCCAGGCCGAGGTGGAAATGGACCTATTGGACGAGCCCAGCAATCACTGGCCCCAGGGCGCTCCCAACTGGCTGCCCACCAAGGAGCTCTTTTGGCCTCTCTTCTGGGGCTACCTGGAAGGCGAAGAAGGGGACACGAGGCTTGAGGGCAGGGCCCCAGGGGAAGAGGCGGAGGAGGAGGAAGAGGAGGACTACCTTGCAGAGTACAGTGAGGGCGAAGACCAGGAGGGCTACGATGAGGATGATGATGACAATGAGGAAGAACCATGGTCCAGTGGGGCCATGGACAGTCAGGACCTGGGCTGGCCAGCCCCCAGAGATGGGACCTTCAAGGAGCTCGACAGCTATGGTGAGCGCCCCAGCTTAGCATTCCATGCTGCTGCCCCTGTAGGTCCTAAGTGGAGATGGGAGAGGGGCAGAGGGCAGCCTGGCAGCTGGAAAGAGGAGGAGCTTAGGCCCTGTCCAGACACCATCATCAGCTCAAAAATAACATTGCCAATAGCTTGCAGAGTCACCTTGGCCCCCATTTGACCCTGATAACACCCTGAGATCTGCTAAGAAAAAGACATTTATTAGTGCCATAAGTATCCATCTCTCTCTGCTTTCACCACTCCCAACTGATCTCGTTTTTAAACTGTGAGGGTTTGAATCCTGGCTCTGGCACTTACCAGCTGAGTGATCTTGGGCAAGTTACTTGACCTCCCTGTGCCTCAGTTGCTTCCTGTATAAAATGGGACTGGTGGGGTCAGCAGGTGGCATAATGGTTAAGGCACTGGACTCCCATGTGGCTGATCACAGTTTCAATCCCAGACCCGGCAGCTTAAAACTCACACTGGGTGCATGTGCATGCATGCCCATAATCCTGAGAGGAGAATGAAAAACAAGGGATTGCAGTGTGGCCACCCACCCCACCCCAAGGCAATTTCTTGCTTTATGTCTCTCTGTCTCTCCAGAGAGCACATGCACCCGATAGCAAAAATCTCTCAGAAAAAAAGGGCGGGGGAGACTGGTATAACCTCTGCATAGAGTTGGTTGTAGAGAATATTATATGAGTTAATGTATATGGAGTGCCAACATGTAGGAAACAAAACGTTGGCTATTTTTATTATAAAAAAAGACGTAACAGAGGGACTAGCAGATGGCATGGTGGTTAAGATGCTGGACATTCCCATGTGGCCCACCACAGTTCAAGTCCTACACCTGTTGGTTTGCTTTCTCACTTTTCCTCTTTCTCTTTCTCTCTGTGTCTCTCTGGTCAAATTAAAATAAAATGAATGAAAAATTAAAATTAAATAAATAATTTTTAAAAAAAGACGTAACAGAGCTGGCCCCATAACATAATGGTTAATCCCTGTTCACAGCCAGCCATATCCCAGTGGCTGACTGAGGTTCAAATCCCAGTCCCAGCAACTTGAAAAACACATCAGCCATGTGTGTCCATGTGCCCTAAGTCCTGACAGGGTGGAGAGGTGAAAAAGCGACTGCCGTGAGACTCCTCCCTGTTGTGGGATTCTCTCTCTCTTTTTCCCTCTTTCTTTCTTTCTTTCTTGTTTTTTTTTTTTTTTCTCTCTCTCTCTTTCTTTGTCAAGTGCACATGACTTCTGGCAATAAAAAGAAAAGACATAACAGCAGAGACTGTTAAGAAAATACCACCTGGGCCTTCCAGAGGCGTGGAAGTTAAGGCAGCTGAATCCCACATAGATGACTTCGCGGTTCAAATCCCAGACCTGGCAAAAGGAATTGTGGCATGGCCATCCTCCCTGGGGGTGATTTCTCACTTCCCCTCTTTCTCTCTCTGTCTCTGTCTCTCTTTAGCAAGTGAACAACACACCCTATAGCAAAATCTAAAAAGAAAATAAAAATACCTCCTAACGCCTTCCAGCCTCCCATGACAACTTTTACTTTGGTATTTCGTGGCCAAAATAAAAGTTTTTCTGGGTACAGACATGTCTTGTAATAATTGCGACCACTTTCCCCCAGAGCCTGGTGTCCTGTCTTTGGACCAAGGTGACTACAATTATGATTAAGACTAAGTTGGGGCCAGCAGGTGGCATGGTGGTTAAGGTAGCTGAATTCCTTGCAGCCGGGACCCTGTGGCTCAAAAAACATACCAGGCACATGTGTGTGCATGCTCAAAATCCTGAAAGGAGAATGGAGAAGGGACTACAGTATGGCCATTTCCCCTCTGTCACTGTCTTTTTTCTAGGGAGTTCCTAGTCCCTATGGCAGGAAAAATAAAAAAACTAAGGTAGGACAACTCTTCCCAAATTATTAAACTATTGCAAACTAACAGAATTTTCATGATCTTCAACTTTTCTCCCATTAATTTTCCTTAAGCTCTTGGTGCTGGCCTGCTCTGGCTTGCCTAGAAAGTGAGGCAAGAACCAGCCATGTCAGTATTTTGGGGGGTTCCCCAGAGAGCACTAGGTGTCTAGACCTTGCACAGACTGTTGAACTGTAAGCCACCCTCAGTGTATTTCAGTTCCCTCAGGTCAGGAGCAAGTCCCTAACACAGGCAGCCAGGACTTTCTAAAATTTTTTGCCATAGGGTGGATGTGCTTGTCAGAGACAGAGGGAAAGTGAGAAATCACCCCCGGGGGGAGATGATCACTGTACAATCCCTTCTCCTCCTTTCTCTCTGGATTTTAGGCACACACACACACACCTGGTATGATTCAAGCTGCCGGGACTGGGACATGAACCATGGCTGGCTATGTGGGAGTCTAGCGCCTTAATTATCACACCACCTGCTGGCCTGGGACATTCTTTAATATCCCAAGTGCCAGGGAAGTACTGTCACAGTTGGTTTTTGATTGACACCCATGGTGGGCAGGGGACTTCTAGCACCAGATGCCTTTTCCTTCTCATGGCTATGCTGGCACAGAGCAGATGCTGAGGTTTGGGCCCCTTCTCAGGGTCACCTGGCACATCTGCACGAGGCTATCTAGCTGAGGAGGCAGGTGTAATGGAAATCCAGCCTGTGCTCCATCCTCCAGGCCAGGAGCCTGGCGTGGGCTGTGTGCTCTTGAGGAAAAGGTGCCTTTTGCTAATTTGGACCCGTGCACCCTGAGGCTGCATACACTCATCCTGGCTCCCTGCCTTGACCCAGACTATGAGCCTCAGGAGGAGTGGAGCCCCTGGTCTCCCTGCCCTGAGAGCTGCAGCAGCGGCAGCCAGCGGAGGACTCGGCCCTGTGGCTATGCCTGCACTGCCACCTAGTCCTGGGCCTGCGACCTGTCCCCCTGTCCCGGTGAGAGGAGCCCCAGCCCCTGCATAGGAATGGCTGGTGTGGCTGAGATCCGGGCTTGGCCCCTGGGGATGTGGGCATGTGATCCTCTTATGAGGGGTGGGATTGGGAGAGGGGATGCAGGAAGCTCACAAACATGGTGGTCCTGCCTCGTCCCAGGCCTGTCCCAGCTGCTGTGGGCACGGAGAGCCTAGTGGGGGCTGGGCTTCCCCATCGGTAGCACAGAGGTGCCCTGGGATGCAACCAGCCTGGCCTCCTCTCTTCCCAAAGGCGCCGAGGACGAGATCACCTTGGGCTTCCCCAGTGAGGGGTGGCAGCCCCTTACCCACAATGCTACGGACGTGCTTGGCTCAGGTCAGTAGGGGACTAGGCCTTGCCCTGGGGGGTTGGGGGCAGATCCTCTCTCTGAAGGGTGGAGCATTATTACACAGCAGAAACCCGGCCTCTGTGCACTAAGGTGGAGTACAGCTTCCAGCCAGAAGGTCTGCCTCTCCAGCAAGGGAGCCCTAGCTGTGCTGAGCCAGGTTCGCTGGCCTTTCCCAGCCTGGTACTCCTACTGGGAAGGCCTGGATGGCAGCCGCAAGAGCTGGGAGATCCTGCTATGGGTCCTGTCCTCCCTGGCAGCAGGACGGGGTGGGGGCATTCTCAATTTCAATCCCTGGCTATTTTTTGGAAGTTTCTGGGCAGGCTGCATCTAGGGGAGGAGTGCTGTCAGGGAACTGGGTCCAGAACTCCAGGACTGCTCCTTCCAGGCAGCAGGGACTGGGCTGGACTTCCAGCACATTCTTGAGTCGGTGTCTCCCTGTCTCACCTGCACCCTGCAAGGAAGGCAGGCAGCACTCATAGCCCACGTCGGAGATGGGGCTTTATTGAGGCTTATGGCAGATGCTTACTGAGATCCCATCATGCACCTGGCACTGTGCTGGGCAGGGCAGTCCCAGAAAATTGAGGCCTGGACCTGATTTAGGGAGCCCAGTCTCACTGGGGACAAACACACATTGCCAGTGTGAGCACTACACAACAAAGAGGTCCCCAAAGTCTGGGAGCACAGAGGAAGGAGCAGTTGGCTCTGTGTGGCCAGAATCGGAGGCCACACCTCCCAAGGCAGAGAGGGGAGGAGGGCAGCATGGCCGGAGGGAGCCACTGGAGGCCTAGAGCAGCAGTGACTCGGCCAAGGCGGGACAGCCTGAGACAGGCAGAGTTAAGAGCAAGAATGGGCCAGAGCTTAGAATATGTTGACACTTCCTTACCAGCTCTTCAAAAACTGCCTTCCCTGGCCCCATGCACTCCAGCTGCCTCCCTAAGAGCCCCAGGATCTAAGCGATAGCCTCTGGCATCTGGTTGCCTAGGTACCGAGGGGACCCGCGCTGGTATGGATCCACTCCCGCCCAAAGGCCCTCCCCAGCGCGCCTCTGCACCCTCTCTCCCACCCATTGCCCCGCGCCCAGCCTTGCCCTCCGCGGGAGTAACCCGCGCCCCTCCTGCCCTCTGCAGATGTGGACAGCTGTGAGAAGTGGCTGAATTGCAAGAGCGACTTCCTGGCCAAGTACCTGAGCCAGGTGCTGCGGGACCTGCCCAGCTGCCCGTGCGCCTACCCGCTGGAGGCCGTGTACAGCGCCGTGAGCCTGCGGGACGAGCTCCAGGGCCGCAGCTTCCGGTGGCGGGACGCCAGCGGCCCGCGCGGGGGCCTGGGCGTGTACCCGCCCACGGCGCGCCCCGCAGCTTCCGGTGGCGGGACGCCAGCGGCCCGCGCGAGCGCCTGGACGTGTACCAGCCCACGGCGCGCTTCTGCCTGCGCTCGCTGCTGTCGGGCGAGAGCAGCACGCTGGCCGCGCAGCACTGCTGCTACGACGAGGGCAGCCGACTGCTGACCCGCGGCAAGGGCGCTGGCGCGCCCGACCTGGTCAGCACCGACTTCTCCCCAGAGCTGCACTTCAAGGTGGACACGCTGCCCTGGATCCTGTGTAAGGGGGACTGGAGCCGCTACCACGCCGTGCGGCCCCCCAACAACGGCCGGGCCTGCGCTGACAACCCCCCTGAGGAGGAGTACCTGGCCCAGTTGCAGGAGGCCAAGGAGTACTGATGGGGGGCTCCTCACCCCGTCCCCTGCCCAGACTCCAGGAGGGCCTGCGTGCCCTCTGCTCCTGACCCCGAAGGAGCGCGGCTGCAGGCCTTGCAGTGGGGTTAGAAAGGTACGGGTGAGTGGAGGGAGCTTTCCCCAAGGCCCCTGGGGTGCAGTGGAAATGTGTGCAGCCCTGTGTCTGTTGGGAGTGGGGGCTCCCTTGCCTGCCTGCTGGACATGCTGCCCCAGCCTGGCTGCTCCTTTCCAGCTCTCTGGGTCAGAGGCCCTTCTGCGCTGGCTCTGGTGTGCAGCGGTGAGCCAGCCGCTTCTGGTACGCCCCAATTCCTGGGACCTGCTCACCCAAGTCCCCAGCCCTAGAGGCCAGCTGAGCAATGGCCAGTCCTTTTATCCGCCCACAGCTGCCCTTTGCCAGGCTGCCATCCAGTCTGGACGGCCACTCCTGCTTATTTCTGGGTGGTGCCCGCCCCTCCTGCCCCACCCCTGCAGTGAGCCCCCGCGCAGGAGGGCTATCCTTAGCTCCCAGCTGCCTTTCTGGTGGACACCACTCTCCTCTCGGGTTGAAGGCCGACAGCAAGACCTGAGTAGACAGTCCCCAGGCAGGGAATGGCTCACCCAATTGTCCCGTCTTTCCTTTGGTCAGCCCCCTGCTCTGCCCAGATTGTAGGATTACTCAGGGTGGAAGCTGGCCCTGTCTTGAGTGGGGAAGTAGCAGCTTGTCACAGCAGCCAGGCTTGGGACAGGCCTAAAACTGGTCCCTGACGGTGTGTCATGGGCCAGTAATGATGATAAACCAGCTCTCTAGGAGGGGAAAAGATCCCCAATTTGTAGCATTTAGGCGATATTTGGAGTAAGTACTCACACCAATGGCCCATCTCCAGCTCCCAGTGCCTGGGAGCTGGGCAGAGTTGTGCCTCACCGACTAGCACGCCCGTGCCTCACCGACTCTCCCAGAACACCCGTGCCTCACCGACTCTCCCAGCACACCCGTGCCTCACTGACTCTCCCAGCACACCCGTCCCTCACCGCCCCGTGCCTCACCGAGACACCCAGCACGCCTGTGCCTCACCGACTCTCCCAGCACACCCGTGCCTCACCGACACCCAGCACACCTGTGCCTCACCGACTCTCCCAGCACACTGTGCCTCACCGACTCTCCCAGCACGCCTGTGCCTCTCCTGCTTCCATCCCAGACCATACTTCCTTGCCTTCTAAGGGGATGGAACGTTGAAGTCCCACTGTCCCTGTTCACGGAAGTCTCCAAAAGGTAGGGGACTTCAGCCCTAACCCCTAGACAGCTGCCCTGAAGCTCTGGGATCCTCAGCAATAAAGCACTTTATTTTCAAATTCCACCTCGTGAAGAATTTTGGACCCCGGCAGAGCAGAGGGGTGTAGGGAGCCTTTGCTTACAGTCCATGCCAAGCTCCCATGGGTTGTCATGACCTAACTCACAGCTGTAACTTTTCCTGACCTTCAGAGCAAGCAGACCCCTGGGATGCAGAGGTTAGACTGGAAACATCAGTTGCCCCTGTTCACACAGGTTGGCTGGACTTGAGGCGATTCACTCAGGGGATCCATGCGGAGTTGCTCATGGGAGGTGGACCTGTTCGCTGCCTCAGTAGCAGCTTTATGAGACACTCCACGGCACTCCTGACGTTTGGGGACGGACAGAGTAATGGAAGGCGTGAGTAGAGCGCCCTCTGGAGAGGCTCAGGGCACCAAATGTTCCAGTTGCCAGCACACCTAGAAGCCAGGTTATTAGTCTGCTCCTGGGCTTCAGGCTGAGAACACTCAGTGCAACTAGATCGTAGGGTCAGAGAGGGCAAATCTCTGTCACTAGGGGGAGCCAAGTTCACTCCCTTGCTCTTGTCAGAAATTTAGTAAGATTGGAACAGGTATGTTTTTTTTTTTAAACAAAAAAGTTATTTATTTAATTTTATGTATTATCGTTATTATTTTATTTGACCAGAGAGAGAAAAGGGAAAGTGAGAAAGCAAGACATCAGGTCTGGGACTAGAACCACAGTTGGTCATGTGGGAGTCCAACACCCTACCCACCATGCTGCCTGCTGACCCCAATGTTCTTATTTTTTTTCTTAAAAAGAATTATTTTGGGGACCAGCAGTTAGCTTAATGGCTATGTTGCTGGACTCCCATGTAGTGAACCACGGTTCGCGTCCCAGACCCGGTGGCTTAAAACTCATGCCGGGCACGTGTGCGTGCATGCCCAAGATCCCAAGAGGAGAACAGAGGAGAAGGGATTGCAGCATGGTCATTGCCCCTGGGGGGTTATTTCTCGCTTTCTGTCTCTGTCTCTCTCTGTCTGTCTGGCGAGCACACACGCCCTATAGCAAAAACCTCTCCAAAAAAAAGAATTATTTTTAAAAATAGTTATTTAATTTTACTTATCATTATTATTAATTTTTAATTTGCTACAGGGCACACACCACTCACAAGGGGGAGAGAGAAAGCAAGTTGCCAGGCCCAGGACTCAAACCTTAGCTATGTGGGAGTCCAGCACCTTAACCACCATGCCCCCTGCTAGCTCCTGTTTTAATCCTTTCTTAGCAGAACCTTTTTGTTTAGAGAGAGATTTTTGCTATAGGGTGTGTGTGCTCACCAGAGAGACAGAGAGACAGAAAGCAAGAATCCCCCCCCACCCAGGGGGATGGCCATGCTGCAATCCCTTCTCCTCCGTTCTCCTCTTAGGATTTTGGGCACACACACACACGCACACACACTCAGCATGAGTTTCAAGCCACCAGGTCTGGGACTGAAACCGCAGTTGGTCATGTAACAGTCCAGCGACATAACTGCTATGCCAGCTGCTAGCTCCGCAGAAACATTTTTTTTAATTGTCAGAGGGCACATGTGCATGCCAGAGGGAGACAGAATGAAAGGGGCGTAAGTCCCACCAAAGTTCCGTCTCCATTTCTCCATTCTGCTGGGATTTGGGGCACAGACATGTGCCTGCTGTTTTTTTCAAGCCACAAGGGCCCAGATTGAATTGCGGTCAGCTACGTGA